TATTTTATTTATTTTTATTTATTTATTTATTTATTTTTTTTTTTCTACGATGTGTCATCTTTCAAATAGACACTAGTATTAAACTTAAAATTATCTATCAAGAAAATGCGAAGAAACTTTTTTCCCTAACTCTATATAAATATATGAACTTTTTATTTTTTCGATAATATACGTCAATTCGTTGTATCGAATTATATAATTAATTCGATCGAGATCAAATTCGAAAGTAAAATGAAGAGGATAAAAAGTTTGTATTCAAGACGAATCAATTAATTCGTTATCTTTATGATTAATCATTGGTCAATGATCGGCATTGTTTCAATGTCTATGTCATAAACGCATACCACATTAATTATTACAATTGCTTGAATAATCGTGAATGGATGATGCCTCATGGGTATTAGCTATGGTGTCTTCTCTCATGTTTAGTATAGCAATATCAAAGGGAAAACAGATTAGCTGACTCGGTTTTCTAATCAAACAAGATGATGTTTCTAAGAAAATCAAATGTTCCTATCGAATGTTGAGTAAATACTTATATGTATTGATTGATAATCGATTAATTTAAATTTAAAAGCATATCAAAATTTAAATTTTAATATAATAATAAAAAAAAGAAAAACCCTTATATATGGTTTACTTATATTAAATGTACAAATGAATAATTCAGATGTTTTTTTCAATAGTTAAATCAATTAGTATTAAATTTTACTAATCGTTTTGTTTTTTAAAACACAAGATAAAATAAAATATATAACTGATAATATTATTAAATACTTTGTTAAAGTCAGAAAAAAAGTAAAAATGATTTAAATATAATTATTATCATTAAATCAAGAATTTAATTTGAACATATTTCATAAACGATAGAAACACAGTAGAAATAATGTACCAATGTACCATAAAATAAATGTACATACGTATGAGAATGATGTATTGCAAATTTACAGCTTCCTATTTATTGAAATTAATTGAATTTTCTTTATATACGTAAAGTTTATAATTAATAATATTGTTTTGAAATACAATAAAAGAAATATATGTAGCATTCTCTATTGAATAGAATTCGTTAGACCAACATATACATATATGTGTGTGCAAACATGCATTTAATGAAATGTTCCCGATTAAAATAGTACTACAGTCTCTATTCAAGAGTAAATATCATATGTATCCTTTCCGATGGTTAATTATTATCGATACTATTATGGAGTTTCCATATTTGAAATTTATTTTAGTTGAGCGTGCATATCTTTATTTTTAAGAAAAATAATAATTTCAGTGAGAAAATAAAAAAAACTCATTGACAATTGTAGCGAAATTGAGAAACACGAATTTTTTCAAAAAAAAAAAAAAAAAAAAAAGGAATAATAATTTTAGATGAATTTATTCGAAACACAACGAGAGTGTGAAGTTTATTTCATTTTTTATTCTAAATAAAACTAGTAGTGTTATCGATTTATCGGATAGTGGGATTTAAAAATATTTAAATTCCAAAGTAACGAANGTAAATATCATATGTATCCTTTCCGATGGTTAATTATTATCGATACTATTATGGAGTTTCCATATTTGAAATTTATTTTAGTTGAGCGTGCATATATATCTTTATTTTTAAGAAAAATAATAATTTCAGTAAATAAAAAAAACTCATTGACAATTGTAGCGAAATTGAGAAACACGAATTTTTTCAAAAAAAAAAAAAAAAACAAAAGGAATAATAATTTTAGATGAATTTATTCGAAACACAACGAGAGAATCAAGTTTATTTCATTTTTTATTCTAAATAAAACTAGTAGTGTTATCGATTTATCGGATAGTGGGATTTAAAAATATTTAAATTCCAAAGTAACGAATATCTATGATACTTTTTATCCTTTATACATATATTACACACACATAGCAAGTTAATTGTCTTCTCTAATATATTCTTCTCTCTGATCTCCACCATTTTTAATCAGTTAATTAAAGCACTCGTCACGAAGATGTAATTAGATTCGTGATAAAAGACTAAAGTCTTATATTATACATCATCTTCTTTCTTACCTCTGCTAATAAAATGTTCTGTCTTCTATCTTTCAGTACTAATACTTTATCATTTAAATACGTCTCATTATATTTATAAAAAATAGATTTAATTGTAAAATATATATATATATATTACCTTATTTTTTGTTACTTATATCAATTAACTAATTAAAATAAATATGTTTCATTTACTTTATAAACAACGATACTGCATAAATTATATATTTTTTTTTGCAACGAAACAAAGTAAAATTACAATATCAACAAAATTGAAGAAAATATGATGTTTTTTTTTTTTCATACGCTCAATTATTCATTTATGCATATAGAATGTATGTATATATAAAATTATTATAAATTTAACTATTGTGTTAGAACGATTCGCAGTTATGGTTTTGTTGGCATGTACTGTCTCACCATGTTCTACCAATTTGCATGTAATTTCTGTACATCGCCAACGCTTTTCGTCTGAATATTCCGAGAAATGTACGGAAAACGAACGACATCTATACGCGTGCATTTGCCTGTTCAGTATGGCATTTCCACGGTTTCTACAACACCACATAAGATACAACTGTACTATTCAAAATAGCTTAATTGTACGTTAGACTGTTATCTGATACTTTGAAAAATATTTCATGTATTCAAATTACAAATTAAATTACTACGCGGATTGTTATATTTATATTTCATGCCGTTTAAACAAA